AAATTATGGACACCATTGGAAACAAAGATGGAGGGGCAAGGGAGACCATCAGAAGGGAGGCCCTGCTTCAGTTTACACTGTCTCGGGGACTCGACAAAATGAAAAAATGCTAACTAGGAGAGGTATTTTATCCGCTTTCTTATGGTAGGATTTCTATATACCATATCTGCTCCTTTACTCTGATTACAATAATGTCAGTAGTTGCCCCAAACCATTGGGAAGTCCATAATTAAGCATCAAGCATTAATACTCATGATTTACATCACTTATTTATTAATAATTCCAATATATGAATGCGGTCCAACTGCTGAGATACTTCATAGCAACCTAATTGCTGAAACCTGCCCAAAACTTCCTTCTTTCAGAATCCTGTGGCGTATTGCACGTGTTTGTGGTTCCTCGTTAGTCTCTCAAAATTGGGGTGCAAAATATCTGACCTGGAATTCTCTCCTTAGGCCTATTCAGGTAAATCCCAGACTTCAGCATAACTACTCCCACAGAGTCTTAACCTAATATAAGACCCTTTATTGTAGCAAGCTAAGGCTATGTCTACACTATTGCGATAATTCAACCTATGCTGCACAACTCCAGCTACATGAATAACGTAGCTGGAGTCGATGTACCTTAGCTAGAGTTACCACAGGGTCTACTTACCTTATTCTTCTCATCAGGGTAGAGTACAGGGTTCGACTGCAGAGAGATCTGTAGTCGATTTGGTGGGTCTTTACTAGACCTGCTACATCGACCACCGGTGGATTGATCTCAGAGCTTTGATCCCGGCTGTAGTGTAGTACCTGCCCTTAATAACCCATTTATATATTATGATCACCGCCTTGTCCCTCCATGCATGTTCCAAGCTAATAAGCAATACTCTGATAATGCATCCGAAGAAGTGGGCTGTAGTCCACGAAAGCTTATGCTCTAATAAATTTGTTAGTCTCTAAGGTGCCACAAGTACTCCTGTTCTTTTTACTCTGATAATGACATTTTACCTCTAGCGTGTATAAAATTGCCCACAAGACATGAGACTAGGTCATAGATCATAAAATCAGGTTGGGGTCAGCAGGAGTGAGATTTTGTAGAGAGTCTTGTCCCCCATCTGCAGCAGCCACAAGATATCTGCCCTCCAGGCTCCTTGGATCTTTGAGCCTGTCCCTCCTAGGTTGCGTGGCCCAGTTCTTGTTTCTTACATTGTCTTTTTCTGAAAGTATTAGAGGCTGTTGTTCCTGAATTTTAGTGTTTAATTCCCCAGCGTTCTCCACACACTGGGGGAGTTTAATTCTCCCTCCCATTACACCTGAGTCACTAGATTTCCTAATTTCCCCAAAATGTGCTTTTGCGATATCACAGTTCTGAGGTAGCTAAGCCTTTGACCTGCCTCCACGGTCTGCTCAAGGAACGCCCTCTCAAGCATCAGGCCTCTAGCCAGCCCCTCTCTATGGGTGAGGACCCACATGCCTCTCCTTTTTGACTAAGGTATGAGGATTGCAGCTTCTCCTCCACTGTGTTCACTGGAATAAGCTCCAGCTCCTGTGCTTTGCTCTCTCTCCAAGGGACATGAGCTCTGTGTGTGTGTGTGTGTGTGTGTGTGTGTGTGTGTGTGAGATAGAGGTGGGAATTTTGGTGATACTTGTATGATGCCAATACACACCTCAGTTTCCCTCTGTGATTGGTATTGCTATGATTATAAAGAGCAGGAGACATGAGGTGATTTGTCACGTAGCTGTCATGGGGTGATATGAATAGATCATTAAGGTCTGGCTGGGACCAACCTACATCGATGGAATACCCAACAGAGACAAAGGAATAATTATTACCTGTCCATGGGAGGATATCTGTTTGGCTGAGTGAAGCATACATGGACTCATTATGTTTTTGGGAGCAGGAAGAACTGGGCTCGCAGACACAGGAAGCTCTACCGGAGCGAAGACAAATGGACAGTCACAGTGAAAGGAAACCAAAGTGTTTTCTACAGCAGCAGGGCTCCAGGGCATTGGCCAATATGGACTATATTGTCTTCTTGGCTTCTCTGTCCTAATCTAAGGACTTTCCAGTGCTCAGTTGACTAATAAGCTCTGCTATGTTTTAAAAGTCTGCCCAGTGTCACAGCAAACATTTGCTCTGTGCATTGACTGAGGAACAGTCTCTGACCAGGAGTGTCGTTCAGCTGGACCTGCTGGCAGAGCTCACAGGTTGAAATAGGAGTGTTGAAGCCAGAGGCTCAGTCTCAGGTGTTGAAGCTACGTGGCCTATCCTTGTGGAAGAATGGGACCCCTTGGAGGCCTAGTGCACTCAAGGGGCACCTCCCAAGGACTGTTTAAAAGCCAGGGCATTGCACAGTTCTTCTTCGAGTGCCTGCTCATATCGATTCCAATTAAGTGTGCACGTGCCGCGTGCACGATCGTCGGAGAAATTTTCTACCCTAGCAACACCCGGTGGGTCGGCTGTGGAGCCCCCTCAAGTGGTGCTTTCATGGCACTGGATATATACCCCAGCCAACCCGGCGCCCCCTCAGTTCCTTCTTACCGCTCCTGACGGTCATTGGAACTGTGGAGCGCGGCATAGCTGTTCTCCACTCTCCCTAGCTTAACCTGTTAGTTCTTATAGATAGTTGTAGTTATAGTTGTAGTTATATTCTTTAAAAAGGAGCGGGACTTTAGATTCAAGCAGCTCCTGATGGAGGCGGCACTTAGCCCAGATCCTCCCTCGGTGCCCCTGCGGCACCTACCGGTACTGCACCGCAAGCAGACGCAGATAAGGCCTCACGGCACTGTCCTCCCTCGGCACTGCGTCCACCACAAACGCCTCGGCGCCGTTCCCTGTCTCCGGGACATAAGAGATCCCGCAAGACACAGGAGGCCTCTGTCCTAGAGGCACCGGCTCCCCCAGCACCTGTGGTAGAGGCAGACGTGGCTCTAGAGTGCCAGAAGGTGCAGATATCATCAACACCCTTGAGTCCGGCCCCGGATGTAGGGCCGTTGAGTCCGGTGCGGACTGGTTCACCACCTCGTTCGGTTGTGGAGCCCTGTCTCCCGTCTACTCCGGAGACCTTTGTGATGGCGAAAGACTTCATCGCCCTCACGGAGCCGGTGCCATCTCCGCCCGCGGCACCGCCTGCTCTTTGGACCACGCAATCCAGGGACAGGCCTGCCCTGGTACGCCCGCCATCTCATAGCATGGAGTCGCGGCACTGCTTCAGGTCTCAGAGCAGGTCCCGACGCCACTCGCAGTCCCGGCACCGACCTTCACCTCGGCACCGGTCGTACTCGTGGCCTAGGTCTTCTTCACAGCACCGATCTATGTCTCGGCACCGTCAGAACCATCGGTACCGATCGGAGTCTAGGCGTAGTTCTTGGCACCGGTACGAGGACCGCTCCAGTTCAAGGGGCTGCTCCCGGCACCACGTCTACAGGCGGTCTTCTTCGTCTCAGTCCAGATCCGGATCTCGGCACCGACATGGCCAGCGGCACTGCTCTCAATCACGGTACCACTCACCGGCACCACGCAGGGACCGCTCGCCTATGGACTGGCACCGGTTGGCACCGTACCGAGCCGATGCAGCCGCATTCAGCACCGCCCTGGCCCTCGAGATCAGCGTCTCACTCATCCGATGGGGCTTCCAGATCAGCATACCCTGCTCAGGGTCAGGCGGCCGCTGAGTTGGGTCACTGGCAGGAGGGGACAGAGGACCCTGCGCAGGACCCTATGCATTGGTCTTTCTGGTCCCCATGGGCGTATCATCAGGCGCAAGGGGCTCCACCATTGGCCTCTCGCTCAGCACAATCCGAGCCCAGAGTCCCGGAGGCCACCATCTCCCGTCCTCCCTCAGGGGACATGGAGGCTCCCGTGCCTACACCACCTCAGGCCCCAGACCTCGGGGCAGGAGATCCTCCGCATCAGGGACCCTTAGAACCAGACCCTCATTTGGATCCCTTGCCCCCGGAGGCATCCTCCTCATCTTCCCCGGATGAGGCGGTGGCAGGCACAAGAGCCTCAGGCCCGTCCCCAATAGATCTTCGTGCCCACCAAGACCTATTACGTACGGTGGCATGTAACATGGACCTCCAGGCGGAGGAGATAGTAGAGGTGCAGGACCCGGTGGTGAGCATCCTGTCAGCTGATGCCCCATCCCGGGTGGCCTTACCCCTGATTTGTACGATTCAGGCTAATGCCAATACCATATGGCAAACCCCTGCCTCTATTCCACCCAGAGGGGTAGAGAGAAAGTACTTCGTCCCCTCCAAAGACCATGAATACTTATACACGCACCCTCCACCGTGTTCACTAGTTGTGTCCTCGGTGAAAGCAAGGGAGCGTCATGGCCAGCAGGCGGCAGCGCCCAAATCGAAGGACGCTAAACACTTTGAATTGTTCAGGCGTAAAGTGT